AGCTTATCCTTTATCTCTAGATGGAGATATTTGGAGAAATGCAGCTGTTTAATGAGAGCTGCAGTGGGGCATCCATTTACATCTCTTAGGATTGGCTGAATAGAGTGTGGCCTATTGAGTATACTTTTGATGTTGTTGCCAGTCTCTTTCAAATGTACACGTGACACTATCTGAAGAAATACTAGAAACACCTAGTAAACATTTTTCTAATATCTATTGTTAAGCTATTTTCAGGTGATCTCATTTTGAAGCTTGGTTTTCTGCTTGGCTATCAGTGATAATCAGGTTACATATGAGTATCTGGGAGCTGCTGACTTTTAATAGGTCAGCTTGTGTAAGTGTATGAGACCTTTTTGAAGACCAGTAATGTAGCCATTTCCTGTGCTTAGACTTGAAGGCTATACTTGTTTTAGACCTCTATACCATGGTCTCAGAAATCTGTAATTTATAATGTCCACTTGCATTCCTACTTTTTTGTTTAAATGGCTGGTTTCTCTTTTATATAATTAACACTTTAAGACCATCAGGCATACAGACATGTCTTACACTTCAATTCTCTTCTGGGTTTTAGTCTTGTTCTTTCCTAGTTTTTGATTGTCCCAGGATCTCTTAATTTTCACCTTTTCATGAGCTAAGCAAAATAAAGCATAATTTTGCAAATGAAAAGAAAGGATACTGTATATTGAAGCTTACAAATTGTCCTAAATTTCTCCTTAATCAGGCACAAATATCTCTTCATGGAGTTAGGGATTTTAAATTCTCTTTTGTTCTTTCCAACTTTAAGAACCTCATACTTAGAAGTCTTTTTATTTTTAAAGACTGGGTCTCGCTGTGTAGTTCAGGCGTGTGCCACCGTGCCCAGCCAGGACGAAGAATTCTTAATGCCACCTCCTAGCCATCCATGCCACTCGTCTGTCGTGTTTCACGGCTTCTCCTGTCCTAGCTTCTGTTCAGAGATTCTCCTTCCTGGCCCTCATAGATTGCCTTAGCCAGACCTTCAGAGCTCAGTGTAGCCTTTTCAGTTTTGTTGTTTTTGATGTTTTGCTTTTTAAGATAGGGTCTTGCTTTGTAGTTCTGGCTGGGCTTGAACTGTGTGTGTAACCCAGCCTGTCCTCAAACCCATGGCAATTCTGCCTCAGTTCCCTTGTGCTGAGATTATAGGCATGCACCACTGCACCTGGTTTCAGTTTTACTTACCATGTCCTACAAGAATTACCAACTAGCCGGGCGTGGTGGCACATGCCTGTAATCCCAGTACTCAGGAGGCTGAGGCTGAGGCAGGAGGATCGCAGTGAGTTCGAGACCAGCCTGGGCTACATAGTGAGTTCCAGGTCAGTCTCAACTACATAGTGAGACCCTGTCTCAAAAAAACTTAAAAAAAAAAAAAAAATTACCAACTAAAGCCTGTTCTTATTTCTTCTCGGCTTTTAATTCATGCCATTGCCACCATTTATCAGTTCCTTCTCCACTCCCCACCTCCACCCATGAACCTGAACCTGGCTCAAACATGGTAGGCAGTACTCAACCACCTAGCTATACAGTCCGCCTCCTAGCTCTTTTTTATTTTGAGATAGGGTTTCCCTAAATTGCCCAGCCTAGCCTTAAACTGTGTGTGTGTGTGTGTGTGTGTGTGTGTGTGTGTGTGTGTGTGTACCAGGGATTGAACTTGGGTCCTTGCGCTTGCAAGGCAGGTGGCGGTCCCACTGAGCTAAATCCCTGGCTAGTCTTAAACTTTTTATCCTCCTGCCTCAGCCTCACAGGTGGCTGGAATTGCAGGTATGTGCCACTGTACCTAACTCTGTGGTATTTTTAACCAAGTACATTTAACTTTTTATATGCTTATCTTTTTACCTGTGTGGTACATTATAAGCTTCACAAGATCCAGGATGGCATTTTAGTCTTGTCTTGTCTTGTTTTTTGAGACAAGGTCTCTCACTATGTAGCCCAGGCTGGCCTCACAATTGAGGCATTCTCTTGGCTTTGGCCTCCTGAGCGTTGGGATTATAGGTGTGTGCCACCATGCCCAGCTCATGGCAGTTTTTTCATTTATTTTGATCAAGTAAAATAAAGGGACCTTATAATAATAAATTTATTTTGGTTTTGTGGTGCTGTAATACTAGGCAAGTGGTCTACCACTAAACTACCTCCAGGCCAGGAAGAACTTTGAAAAAGCCACCTTACCACTCTAAATATAACAGGCACATAATATTGAGAATTTCTTTTTTCTTTTTTACAGTGCTGGAGACCAAATCCAGAGCCTCACACTTGCTGTCCCTGAGGTACAAGTACCTCAGCCTTAATTTCTTGATTTGAGTTTATCAAAACTCTAAGCAGTTCTTATACAAAAGAATCACAGCTGAGAAAACTAAAAGAATTTTCTTAGACCATGATATTTTTAAAAATACACAACTACTAGCTAAGCCAATCTTAGAAGGGAAGGGACTTTCCCTCTAGTCTCCCCTCTATTAGAGTGAGTCAGATATAATCATGATTGTGTCAAAAGTTCAAAAGGGAAAGTGGAAGGTAAGATGAGCTGAATTGGCACTCTTCCCTCAACATTGTACCTGTAAGCTTGATATGTTGTTTCAGAGATTAACTTTATAGACTTCCGTACCCAGAAGTATGAAAATTCGTAGGGAACTCTTTTCACAAGCTTGATCTTAACATAATTGAATAAAGAGAGCAGTTAATCCCTTTTGTAAAGTAATTTGAGAGGAGGGAATTCAGAATGTAAAATCTCACCTGCAGAAAATACTCAACTCTGTAAAGCCCTTTCTATCTTTAGACACTTACAGAGACTTAATATTTTAATGTGGAAGGGTGAACTTGGCTAAAAAGCCAATGGGTGAAATTAGAGAGAAATAATCCAGTGATTTCTTTCTGGGAATCATCATCCTGCTCTCCAGGGGACCTGATTTTTATTCCCTGTGAGGAATGAGAATACCCCTCTGTATTACAAGCCAGGAGCTCTAAATATAAGCTTGACTTTAAGTATAATAAGAGTCTTGTTATGTGCAATTTTGCTCTTAGTCATTAATACACTGAACAAATGTTGTGGTTACCTGGGAAAGAAAATTCAAGTGCTTTTAAACCTCTTGTGAGATTAGGTTTCATGCTTGAAACCTATATACCGTTAAGCCCAGCAGCATCTGTAGAAGATCTCAGGCTCTGGGTATATAGTGTAGAGAGAGGTTAATGCATTTTCGAAAAAATGGATGCCACTAAAAATGGCTTTAAATCCTGGGTAAAAAGCTTTCCTTTTGCTGAATGACAACTGTTTACTAGTAGCACTAACTTTAACAATTAAGTAGAAGGTTTTAGGAGTGAATTTTACAAGATGATAATGTCTCTTGTATACAAAGTGAGAGATTAGCCTTTCCTTCAGATGGTACTTAAAATTTTACTTTCAGCTATAAAACAGCCTCAGGTCCTGTAAGTGTAGACTGACTTAAAGACAAAATTTAAGGGAATATATAGTATTAAATAGCATTTTGGCAGCATTTATTGGATTAAATTATTTTTGTCTTTACAAACTTTGTGATGTGCACATTTTAAAATCTATTTTAGCAGAATTTTTTTTTTTTGGTACCAGGAATCAAACTCAGAACCTTGCCCTTGCAAGGCAGGCAGCTGCACCACTGAGCTAAGTCCCTGGCCCCAGAATGAGTATTTGTAATCTTTGTAAACAAAGACTGCACTTTGTAATTCAGTGCTGTCTTTTCCCCATGAATTTGTAGCAAACCCTATGTAAACTCCATGAGTTAATACAAGAGTGAAGATGAATAGGATGGAAATTGGTGGGGGAAGCGGTTATAACAAACCGTTGCTATATATTGCAGGCTGACCTTGAACTCACTATGTAGCCCAGGCTGGCCTAGAATTCTCAGTGATCCTCCTGCCTCAGCCTGCCAGTTACTACTGGGATTATAGGCATGCACCCCTCATCTGGCTAGAAAATTTTTGAAGGTGTCAGATTATAAATAACAGTTGATAGACATACAGTTATCTATACCATGAAATTTACAGGCTACAAAACATTTATACATAACTTTAAATGTACTGTAAAAATACACTTATTAAAAAGTATCAACATTAATTTTTATTATAAGTCAATGAAGTAAGAGACGTATTTATTAAAAATTCCTAAAAATCAAAATATTTCATCCAAGGAAAAAAATTTAAAGTAAACAAGGCTGGGCATGGTGGTGCATGCCTATAATTTAAGCACTCCAGAAACTGAGGCAGTCCAAGGCCATCCTAAATTACAGGATGAGATCCGGTCTTTAAAAAAAAATCCAAAAATTTATATACATATATGTACATGTATGTGTGTGCGCTTGTGTGTGTACACACAAAAATATCTTTTTTAGGACCAAAAGGTAAATGAAGGGCAGGCAACAGTTTCTGAGAACTGTGTCACGCTTTAATGTTTTGAAGTAGCTTCAGCAAATATGACTTGATAACTCATTGAACACTTCTTGTAGCCCAGGACTACAGCAAAATCCAAGAAAGCAGACCCAGAGTCAGTTTGAATATTTTCTAATAGGATCTTGGGAAATGATTCCCACAGACAGCATAAAGCAAAGCTGTCCCTCTACTCCAGGCACATTTCATTTATGCCAGCTCCGCAGTCCAGCATTTTGACAACATCTGTAGCCTTTACTATAGGCCCAGGACTGCGCTTTCTCAACTTTTTCCTAAAAGTAAGGATTGGCACCATTCTGCATTAGAAACTCCACCACAGCTTTCTGCCCCTGTGCTGCAGCCCACATGATGAAGTAAATCCTCCTTCATCTGCGTGATTGGTAGGCTAGTACTTTCTTGTTGATGGGAGTAACCAGGTGGAGCATCTCTCAAGACCTGCCAGCTGGTAAACAAAGAGCTTGTTATCAGAGGTGTGTGAACACCTCATTTCCTCTTCCTTTTGTTGGTGAAAGCACTTGACTGTTTCATGAGTGAGAAATGCTTTGTTGCAAATTCCAGCAGAAAGAGATGTTTGGATGTCGCATTTAGTTTTAAAACAGTTGGCACCTACAGGTCAGAGTTAACCTGATATTTATTAAATGTATTTACTGTCCTCTTCACGTAAGGATTTTACAATTAGGAGCGCAGGTTCTTATCAAATGGGTTGGTCAGTATGAATTTTGTTTCCAAGGCAATACCCTGAGCTGCTCCTTCTGAATTTGGATACAGTGGGTATTCTGTTTCACTGTCTGCTTGCCGAAGAGGCTAACACTGCTGGGATACTCTTCCACTATCAGCTGGGCTCTGGTATCCAAATTTGATGATGTAGCCACAATTTCCTCTTGGTATTATAAAAGCAACATTCAATGTATTACTAGAATTTAGATACTAAAAAATAGGCAGGAGGTGTCTTGGCATCCCCAAACAGGAGCCTGCTGGTGGGGAACCTTGTAATTCCAGCTAGAAGCTCACCCTGCGATGAGCAGATCCCAGAGTCCCTGTGAGGATGGTCTGCTGAGGTATTGGCTTGAGCAGTCTATCAGATCTAGCCTTCTCTCACCCCTGGTCTACGGACAATTTTAACAGAATAACAGAAAAAAGAAAAGGAAAACAAAAACAAACAAGCAAGAAAAAAAAAATATGTGTGTGTGTGTGTGCATGTTAATAACCTCGGGCAGAGTGATACCTAGAGCATACACACAGAGGTGCATTTTGAAAGTTGTATTTAGTGTAAATAATACACCTTTTCAGCAAGTAGCAAAGTTTTGTTATAGGTAAATATCTAAATTAGCTTCATGATTAGTTTTCCTTAAGGTAAACAGACTTGTCACACTACCAGTTTTACAAACAAAGGAGAGATTTTACAAAGGAGAGATTTCTCTCTCCTTTTTTTTGTACAGGAGATCGAACTTGGGACCTTGCATTTGCAAGGCAGGCAGCAGAACCACTGAGCTAAATCCCCAGCCCTCCTCTCCTTTTTTGACATCTCCTTCATTAATGTGCTTCAACTTAGGTATGACTTTTTATTTCAGACAAATCTTCCTATTTTCAAGCTAAAGGAATCTACTGTTAGAAGAAGATACAGTGACTTTGAGTGGCTACGAAGTGAATTAGAAAGAGAGAGCAAGGTAAGAATTATTTGTAATGAAATTTTAATTTTCAGATTCTCAGGTTTTATTTATTTTTTTTTAATCAGTTCAAGACTGACCTGAACTCTACATAGTAAGACCCTATCTCAAAAAAAAAAAAACAAAAAAACTGAGGCAAGAGCATCATGAGTTGGAGTCCAGCTTGCACTATACAATTTGAGTTCAGGGCTGTTATGGACTATGTAGAAAGACTGTCTCTAAATAAATTAAATGTGTATAAGAACTCTAATTACATCTTTTCAGACTGCTTAAGCAACAATATTTTGATGTTGAAGAGGATCTTTGAAATCTTGGTTGAACAAGCAAGCCATTCATGACTTTCATAGGTCATTTATTCCTTACGACTATAATCCTGTCCATTTACACTGGTCCTAGGTTTCTTTTTTTTATTTTTTTCTTGAGACAGGGTCTCACTATGTAGTTGAGACTCACCTGGAACTCACTATGTAGCCCAGGCTGGTCTCGAACTCGCAGCCATCTTCCTGCCTCCTGCCTCAGCCTCCCGAGTGCTGGGATTACAGGCATGCGCCACCACGCCTGGCCCCCTAGGTTTCTTTTTTAAATAAGAGCTTTTGGTAGGTATAAATATTCGTCACCCACCAGATAGCCATTTTACTGGAACTCATTGTTCAGGATCCCCTCTCAGTTCTACGGTCCCTGCAGATCTTAAAACACTCAACTTGACAGATGCTTAATATAGGAGAGAGATTCGTGACTACAGAAGCAAACTTATGGCAGTGAATGCTGACATGTCTTAATTGGAAAGGAATATAAAGTTTATGTTGGGCATTTGGTTTCATACTTTTTCTGTTGATCTGTATAAAGTTGAATTGATATTTCTCTTTTTTAATCTACTGAATTATTGTTTTCAGATTAGATAAACTTTGTTTCAAAGCCTTAACGTTTTAACTCTTAGGCATTGGGTGGAGCACAGTGGTAGAGGACTAACCTAGCATGGCCAAGGCCATGTTCGAGCCCTCAGCACCTCAGCAACAAGAAAAAGTTACTCTTGAATTTTCTTTTTCTTTTTGGTACTGGAGATCGAACTCAGGACCATGCGCTTTAGAGGCAAGTGCAGTGCCACTGAGCTAAAATCCCCGGCCCTAACTCTTGTAGAATATGTATAATGTGTGTTATTGGTGAGATGGAATAATTTTCTATATGTTTACTATTTATAATTCTCTATATTCTCTTTTGATGTAAGATAAAATAAGCTAAATGGTTGGTCATTTAGCAGATACCTGAGCTTTGGCTTGTGTTGTATGCCCACCTTTTCTTAGAATTTTCTTTGCTGAGGATCAAACCCAGGGCCTTTATGCTCAATAAGCACTTTATCAGAGTCACATCTCCAGACAGTGTCTTTCTTAAAGTAGGACAGAATTCCTGGGCTCAGGAAATCCTCCCAAGTATCTGGGACTGCAGGCATGCTCCATTACACCTGGCTAAAATATAGCTGTCTTTAAAAAGCTGAAGGATGAGAGTTACGCCAAAACAAGGGCTTACCCTAATTATGCATTGTCCTTAAGTTTGACCAAATCCCAAGCATATGATTATGTGAACTTACACATAAATTTTTATCTAGTAATTTGAAGATCTGTGAGTGGTAGAAAAGGGGGTTACACGAAGCCTTTGACTCTTGGTTATCTACTATAGCACACTTATATTTTTATGAACATGCAGATATTCCTCAGTGACTGAGTCATGGTCCTGCGATTAGATTGTGAATTGAATTGGTCACTAAATGAGGAATTGTATACAATATGTACATTAAATATTCAGAACAAAGAAATGTTCGAAGGAAACTCCAACTTTGTCACTTCGCTTTTATTTGCATAACATGCAGTACTGTAATATATAATAACCTAAACTACATACTCTACTGCTCATTACAATCAGCAGAAATTACAGTACTGTATAAACAGTGCTGTACAAAAAAAAGACAGGCAGTAAGTCTGAACTGCATAACTTGTTCGTCCAAATGGTCATTAACCAGGTAGGTCCTTAAACGAAGAGTATCTGTGTTTTGAGTCAGAACGATGCTATACTGCATGCTTTGAAATTCTGAAATAGAAGCCTGGTTGACTTATGTGTTGTGTTGTGTCTCATTGTGTTTGTGCAGTACTGGGGACTGAATCCAGGGAGTGCTGGGCTGCATACCAAGCTCTTTTCTTTTTAATAATTTGAGATAAGGTCTCCCTAAGTTGCCCAGAACTTGCCATTCTCCCGCCTCCACCACTAGAGTAGCTGGAAATGCTCCGCATTCTGCAGCACTCAAGAAGCCCCATCACCACCCATCAAAGAATTACCTGTTTGTCAGAGATGGGGTAGAGGTTGTAGCTTGGAGGTAGAGCACTTGCCTGGCATGCTCACGGCCCGAGTTTAGACTTGGAAGGGACAATTTCTGATATTCTTATAATGTGGGAAGGAAGAAAAGAAACATTCTGAGAAAAGATAGCAGAATATGGGATTTGAGAGAAAGTTGACGTACTTCTTAGTTTACGAGATGGAACACATACATGCTGATAGTTTTGTCATCACTTCAGACATGTGTAGAAAACATGCAGGTGGAAAGAGTCAAGGAACCACAGAATTCTTACCTACCGTGTTATTAACATCTTATTTCTTTATTGAATCAAAACTTGATTTTGGTGTTGTTTTAGGTTGTAGTTCCCCCACTTCCTGGGAAAGCGTTTTTGCGTCAACTTCCTTTTAGAGGAGATGATGGAATATTTGATGACAATTTTATTGAGGAGAGGAAGCAAGGGCTGGAGCAGTTTATAAACAAGTAAGTGCTTTCTGTTCTTCAAGGGCTAAGAGTGAACATTGTTTCGAGACTATTTTAGGTACCTACTAATAATTCAGAGGTTAGTCTAGACTGTAATAATGCCTTTCCCTTTGGCCAGATCCTAACTTTTTATAGCATTTAAACTAAGTAAAAGTATCTTAACAAATTGAATAGCATGTGATATAACACCCTTGAGTGATTGAAATGTGTAGCTTTGTTTTGACCTGAGTTTTATATTTGTTTTTCTTGGTTAATTTATGCAGATTACATTTTAAACTACAGTGTTTAAAAAATACAGTTTTTCGATTCTTTCTGATTCTTTCTGATTTAAGATATGTTCTGGAATGAACAATAAAACACACAGTACTCTTGCAATCATTTTCTTTGATTGCAGATACAGATATCAGTGTCTCTTGTATAAAGGTGCACTTTTTATTCTCATGACAGAAGATTCCTTTGTTCCTGATTTTTTTTTTTTTGGTACTGGGAATCGAACTCAGGTCCTTGTGCTTGCAAGGTAGGCAGCAGAACCACTGAGCTAAATTCCCAGCCCCAGAAGTTTCCTTTGAAAATGTAAAAAGATAGGAATGTTCGTCTTTTAGAAACTTTTTTAAGAAACTCTTGATAAGCTCAAACCATTATTAAATATCTCTAGTATTTAATACCTCTAGCATTTAATTTTATTCCCATTTGAAATGTAGCTTTTCAGTTTTACTTAATTTGTTTTTGTGGTATTTGCAATTGAACCCAGAGTCTTTGTATTCAGCTACATCCTCAGCCTTTTTTATTTTATTTTTATTGTTTGTTTGTTACTGGGGATTGAACTCGGGACCTTGTACTTGCAAGGCACGTGGTGGAACTACTGAGCTAAATCCCCGGCCCAGCCCTTTTTATTTTTTATTTTGAGACAGTCTTGGTAAATCACTAAGTTGCCCAGGCTAGCCTTGAACTTGCCATCCTGCCTCATCCTCTCAAGTAGCTGTGTTTACAGGCCAGTCTGGTATTGTGTTTAGCCTGTGATGGAAAACTTTAAAAGCAAGCCAACAAAACCAGAAGCCAGCTATTTGTGTCTTCCTTTTAGTACAGTATTGGGGCTTTATTACATTTCCTGTATTTTTAACTCCAATCCTATCTATTCTCATTCAGATGCCTTCGTAGAATTCACTGACATATTTCACTTTTAACAGTAAATTCATTTAAGTTTCTTATGAATACACCAGCTGATAATGTGCCAGAAGCAGTACAAAGTTAGACTGGTATAAAATGTTTTCTAAACTTTTCTTGTGAACCAAATGAAAGAAAATATACCATTAGCTATCAGAGCATAAATTATATAGCTATTCCAGAATAATAGTTATTTTTAGTAGATTGTATATACTTCCTAACCTTAAAATGAGTGTTTTGACTTCTAGTACCAACCACTTCTATAAAACATTAGACTAAATTTCTATTTTTGATTTCCAGGGTCGCTGGTCATCCTTTGGCACAGAATGAACGTTGTCTTCACATGTTTTTACAGGATGAAATAATAGATAAAAGCTATACTCCATCTAAAATAAGACATGCTTGAAATTTGGCAAGAGGCAAAAACGTGACCCTTAATGATTCATGTGCACTGGTGAAGACATTCTAACTATCCTTTAGCATGCTGCACAGAAACTGGTATAACATGCCTTCCGTATAGTAACACTCGCGTGCTCGGTTTTGTTTGGCAGTTGACAAGTTAATTTGCTTTAGTGAAAATCTCTCATTCCAGCCTTTCTATATAAATAAGCTCTTCCTTGCTGATTTTGTGTGGTATACACAGACCTTCCTCTATAATCTGCAGTGTCCTAACTAAAGATTCTGACATGGTCTTATTTGCACAGTTTTTGTGTCATGTTTGCTTCTTCACTCTAATTAATTAGAATATCCCCCCCTTTAATGTGTAATGTCGCTTGATCTAATTTATGTGTAGGAGCACTACACCGTTCTCAGTGCCGCACACAAAAGATACACACTTGTGTGCAGAACGTATTTTCCTTCCGCCCCATAAAACCCTTCACATGGAAGATTGATGACGGAAATCTTTATATTCTATATAAAAACAAAATCAGATTTATATACTAAGATCATTTGTCTAAAAATTTAAGTTGTTTTCAAATAAAAATGCATTTCTGATATGCACTGATTGTGTTGCCTCCAGCTTTTCTTTTCTCCCTTATGGCTTAGCTACTTAACTCACTTGTTGAGAGGGATTATTTACTAATTATACACTTCTCATTCCTGTAACTCCATTCCTCTTTAAACAGTGGTGATATCAAGTATGCAGCCACCTTTTGAATGGGGTATTTTCTTTTAAACAACAGAAAAGCGATGCGCTAAAAATGCATTCCTTAAAGCTTATTGAATTGTTATAAAGCACTTTGTATATTGGAGAAATGCTTTATAATCCTAAGTCATTCTTTAAAAGGCCTTTTAAGATAAGTCAACACCAAGCCTCCTGTTTCTGAGAAGAATTTTCTTCCTAGTCCATGTGGGTTTAGCAAGAGTATAGTAAGTCAGTCAGCACATGCATACTTTCTCTTTAATTTGGCTTGGGCTAATGGTGTACTACAGAGTTGTACCCTGACTTGTATAAGAGATAAGAGACCAGAATGTACACACCTTGCTGCCTGACTTGTGTTATGCCCAAGACCTTTGCAGCCAGGAATGTGGTTTCCAATTTGAGTCTACAACCTGTGATGGTTTGAGAATTCATGTGACCCAGAATTAAATCCCAGTGTAAAGAAAGACTATCCTTCCACCAAGAGCTACCTCCTCTGTAAATAAGTCAGTGCATTTGAGAGAAAACAAGCTTTGGTCTTCAAAAGCCAGGATTCTACCAATCCAACAAAATTAAGAGTTAAGTCAAAAAGCTACCTTACAAGGCATTTTGTTGCTCACTATTCCATAAAACTGGCTCCTTCCATCACTATAAGAACATACAAAGCTAACCATGTTAATTTTACTTCAGTGAGCTAGAGAATATCAAAGGCACCATTTTTTTAATGTACATAACTGAAAAATAATAGCCCTGCTAAACTTAGTAATTCCTCTACAGCAGTGGTTCTAGGCCGGGGTGATCCTGCCTCCCAGGTTGTCCCACCTGGGGCACGCTGCCAGAGTCAGAACTGCGCAGTTCAGCCCCACACAGTGCAAATGTCAGCAGTGCAGAGCTTCCACTTGGGTCCTTGCTAAGGAAATACAATAGTATGGCTTAGTCTGGACTGTACTGCCCTGCTTGTTTAGTGTCTCTATCGCCGTCTCCTATGCATAGATAAGCACTTGAAAAGTCAGAAGGTTTTAGACTGAGTGAAAAATTACTTATTCCAGATTTCTGCCTAATTCAGGAAGGTACTTTTCAGTGTTATCTCTTCGGGAACTAAGACTATGGTCTAGTAAAACCACCTTTTCCCCTCCAAGTTAAATAAAAGTAAAAATACACGTGCTGTTAATTCTAACTACATAGGAAAGGGTTTCAGAGACTCTTAGGAGTCTTCCTAAGAGAATAGAATTTAATTTGCCAATGAATTACACAGCAATGGCTGGGTAATTCTAAGACCCTTCAGGCTCAGGAGGCTGAAGCAAGATAACGTGTGCCACCTGCTTGTCTGTGTTGGTCATATTTGAGCTTATCTGACTTCGTCATTACAAGAAGTCAGGAAAAAGGTCTCATCAATTCTTGAGACACTACTTTTTGCAAATCTTGATTTACAGCCTTACAAAAACTAAAGCTTTGTCAGTGGCAGCAGGCATAGGTTCGATCCTTGTATATACCCCCCCCCAAAAAAAAGCATTGTTAGAGGCGAGAAAAGTTAACTCAAAACCATGAAAGGAAGTTTACTGTCAGACTGAGTACCATATGGAAGCAACCAGTAGCACTCAGCACTTGGGATGTGTAGAGAGCCAAGCAGGAGATATCTGACCTAGCCCTCCCTCAAGCTCCTTGTGAGGACCCTGCCATGAAACAAACACGAAAAGTGCAGTCCCAAAACATACGGCAGACTTGACAAAGAGACATGGGAATTCAAATAAAAGGAAGGGGCTGAGCATTCACCAAGAGACCAACACTTCCAAGTTCACCTCCTACATAAATAGAGCTTGAAAGAAGGAAAAACTAAACAATGAACCTCTCAGACCCTTCAGTGAATTAAGGTTGCAGGGCAGAGTGAAGGTCTAGAACAATCCCCGTGTGGTTCTGCCAAGGAAATGGAATGAACAGTCATTGTGAAATAATGCCCAGAACTTAGTTTCTTATAAAGGCCTTGCTCTAGAGGGTTGAGACTGCCTGCCAGTCTTAGCCTGGTTTGGGGAAGGGCGTTCTTCCCACTCCATCCTCTGTTACCCTACCTCCTTCCTCTTACCTGAAGAAGCAGCGTACTTAATAGGGGTCACAACTTCAATACATAAGCAGTGCTGCAGACTTGGAAGGGCTAAAAGCTGTACCATTGGAGAAACAGGTTTACAGCAATGCTGAGATTTCATCTGGATTACAGAGTGCCCCTAACCCACATCTTCCGCCACACGAGTGGGGCTGCAGTGTCATCTCTGAGGAGTATTAGGGTAGCCAGAAGTTGAGAAGCAAGTGACAAAGACACTAGAGAAGAGTCGAGTCTCTGGCACGAACATTAAGCACTGTCCAATTCTAGCAAGATTGCTGTAAATCAGTTTATGTTATTAAGGCTAATATGTCTGGCTCTCAACAAAAAAATGACAAGCCATGCCAAAAGAAAAAAGTCGAGATAAAGCAATCATAGCCATGATATGTCACAGATGTTGGAATTTTATTGTTTTTTTTGTTTTGTTTTGTTTTTTAACTCAGGACCTTGCACTTGTGAGGCAGGCAGTGGAACCACTCAGCTAAATCCCTGGCCCTAGATATTGGAATTAAGCAATTAAAGGTGACTAATATGTCAGATTTCATTGTTGCCTTTTGAAATAGTCTCACTTTGTTGCCCAGACTGGTCTCTGTAACTTCAAGTAATCCTCTAGCCTAAACCTCTCAAATACCCAAGACTACAGGTGTGCAACTCCAAACCCAGCTACCTTAAAAACATTTATTTGTTTTGTTTTGTTTTTTGAGACAGGGTCTCACTATGTAGTTGAGACTGACCTGGAACTCACTATGTAGCCCAGGGTGGTTTCAAATCAGAGTGATCCTCCTGCCTCAGCCTCCCAAGTGCTGGGATTACAGGCGTGTGCCACCACACCCAGCCTTAAAGCTTTTAATAGAAAAATTAGACAACATACAAAAATAGATGGGTAGGGGCTGGGGATGTAGCTCTGTGAGCACTTGCCTAATATCCACAAAGTCTTGGGTTCAATCCCTAATTAGTGGAGGAGGGGAGTAATGGGGAAATACAGAATAACACTCAGAATCAAAAGGAAATTCTAAAAATCAAAATCACTGTAATAGAATGCCAAAAAAGAAATAAATGACTTAGATGGGTTCTTTTTTAAATAAATTTTATTGTATTTCCAAAAGAATCAGCTTTGGCTTTGTGTATGGTGCATGGGATAGAACATGCTAGGCAAGTGCTGTACAACTGAGCTACTCCGCCCTGTAGCCCTGATACATATCTTGATCATTACTTAAGAATTACAGTAGTTACTGGGCCCACCACAAAGGTCTTGAAGAGAATCACATTTTATCAAAAGTTTTAAATATCCTTTAATAAAAGCTTTAATAAATAAGCATTTTGTAATCTTGTATATTTTACTTTATGCTTGTATAGCAAGTACCTGAGTAGGGATCTTTGAGCAACAAAAACAGTTAAGAAGCCCTGATGTAGGGAAATTGAACCTTCCCGTGCCACAGTGAGTTGTGTGTGCGCCATGACGGCCTGGTTCGGAATGATTTGTCTGGTGTTTGGGTACAGGTATGAGAGGAAGAGAGAGACAGACACAGGTTGCAAGGCAGCTAATACCATCTCCCGAGTGCTGCCTCAACCTATGCTCTTCACATTATTATTTAGTCATCAAAATAGCCTTATTAAATGAGTGTTAATCTCGTTTTAGGAACAGAAGAGTTGGGACAGTTTAATTTGTCCAGGGTCCCACAGCTATGAAGAAGAAGAAGAAGAAGAAGAAGGATTTAAACCTTAGTCTTTGATCCAAAAATCTGCGCCTGTGCAGTGGATGCCGGCCCTAGTACAGATGCCTTGATGCCAGTGCGGTATGAGAGTCTTAATGCTAGCAGAGACCTTCGCACGAGTTAGAGGACCCTGAACATGTAAGAGAATTTGGTTATATAAGGGGATGGCCATCCCTGATTGGCAGAGGTGAACACTACAGCTTTGCCTTAGCTTTCTTGGTACATTTCCTTTCTAGCTAGATTATACTTTAATCCAGTTGTTTTCATGTTCAGTAAATCCTAACCACGTTTAACCGGTTTAGTCATTGGAGTGTCTGAGGTGAGGAAAGTTTGTCCTTTCAGCTGCACTGGGGATTTGCTGTCTTCTTTCTACAGGGATTTTCCTGGACCTGTAATCTGAACATTTGACCTGGGGAGGGGTTTCCCTCACCAGGATAGATCCGTAAGGCTTGACCCTTTGTGTGCTGCGCAGAGCAAGCAAAGAATGCTTTTCTTCTCCTCCAGAGGACAGTTAGTAATGGATGTTAGGAATGTTAATCATCTGCTGTGCAGCTTCCCCGCCTTGCTGCTCTTTGCTGCTGCACGCAGCTACCTGTTGGCCTCTGCTGCCTCAAGAACAGCCCTGTTTTTTCTGACATTATTCTAGAGAGGGTTCTCTTGGACAGTGACGGAATCTGAAGGAAGTGAATTGGGCTCAGACGACAGTGTAAGCCAAGGTGACAGGTTCACCACAGGTATTGGCGGGGAAATAAATTGGTACAACCTCCGTGGAAAGCACTAACTATCCA